GCAGCCAGCCCCCCCCCCACGGGGGGTCAGCAAAGCAAACCCATCTGCAGCCAGCCCCCTCCCCCAGCGGGGGGTCAGCAAAGCAAACCCATCTGCAGCCAGCGCCCCCCCCCCAGCTTAGCAAGGAAAATGCATCTGCAGGCCGCTTCCCTTCCCCAGGGGCCGGGGTGAGGAAGGCAAACGCATCTGCCTTTCTGGAGCGCCACTTTCCGCGGGCTTGGCCCGGCCGGGGCGCAGCGCGCGCGCTGCCCTCGCACAATTCCCGGCCCCGGCCGCGGAGCTGCGCTTTGCACAAGTCGCCCCTCCCCGCGCGGGATTTTGCTAAGTGGAGACGTCTGTGGTTTGCGCGCACGAATCGGCCCCTGCCGACGGGAAGCCGGCCGCGGGCCTGCAGCCGGTGGGCGGAGAGAAGCGCGCCCGGGCCCCGGGCCGCGGCGGAGGAGAGGCGGTGAGCGTGCGGGGACGGGCTGGGAACCCCGCTGTGCGCGGGCGGGCAGATGGCGGTGGTGCTCACAGTCCCCAGGCCCGGTGTGAATGGGCCCGGCCCCTGCACCGGACGCCTGCAGTAAGGGGGCGTTAGATGTTTCTATGGCCGCCCCGGGTGGCTGGAGAGAGGGGCTGGGTGTGGGCTGTTAGGGGAGGTTCAGCCCCAGAGCTGGGGGGCGGGGGGGGGGATGTGCTAGGCCTGAGCTGTGCTGGAAGGTGGGGGAGGGGTGTGCTGACTAATTTCGGGGACCGAGGGGGTTGAGCGTCCCCCGGGTTCTTGGCAGCGCGTGAGACCCCGAGGGCAAAGGTAGGAAGGAGCCGAGCTGGCTGCTGGGTTGTGCACGCTCCAGGAAGCGAAGGGGCGAAGTCTGCAAAGCCCAGCTGGGGGGGCTGAGAAGCACATGGCCTGTGCGCCCCCCCCCCTCCCCGAGTGGCCTGTGGGAGGCATCCGGCCTCTTTCTGCACTCGCTTAAAAACACCCAATACCAGAGCATCGGAAGGATGTTCCCCTAAAATACACCCAGATAATGCAAGGCTTCCTCCCACACCAGGAAGCAAATGCTCCCCACCTCCACAGTGAGCAAATCGCCTTCCACAAGGGGCCAGAGCTTGGGGGAGTCTAGTTGAAAAGAGGATTCCCGTGGAGTTTGTTTTAATTAATCTTATAAAGGATTCTTTGTCATTTCTGCAAAGTCTAATGGGTTTTTTTTTAAGCGAGGATGCAGGATGTCTAGGGTTTTCTGTGCCCCTCACGGCCTATCCAGGTGGAGTGCTAGCAGATGAATCTGTGCTAAGAACTGAACTCTCTGCGTCCTAGTTTTCCCATCTGTAAAATGGGAATCAGCCTGTGGTGGAGTGTTGTAAGTTCATTCATGTTTGTAAAGTGTTTTGTGATCCTGGGATGGAAAGTGCTATAGGCAAATGCCAAGTATCCTCATTAACTGTGTCTTCCAATTCACCTGTAGTGGTGAACGTTTATACAGAATGTTAGCAGCGATGCTGGAGTGTGTTTGATGTTTGTGTTCCCTCTAGAAAATGAACGAGTGGGCGCCCATAGCGAAAGAGTATGACCCCCTCAAAGCAGGGAGCATTGATGGCACAGATGAAGAGCCCCATGACCGTGCCATTTGGAGGGCCATGTTGGCACGGTACATACCTAATAAGGGGGTTACAGGAGATCCCCACCTCACTCTGTTTGTAGCAAGACTGAATCTACAAACCACAGAGGAGAAGCTGAAGGAAGCCTTTTCCAGGTATGGAGACATTAGGAAGATTCGTCTGGTTAGAGACTTGGTCACAGGTTTTTCCAAGGGCTATGCGTTTATAGAGTACAAAGAGGAACGTTCGCTCTTGAAAGCCCATAGAGATGCCAACAGGCTGGTTATTGACCAGCATGAGATATTTGTGGACTTCGAGCTGGAAAGGACCCTCAAAGGATGGATCCCTCGGAGACTTGGAGGTGGTTTTGGAGGCAAGAAGGAATCCGGGCAGCTGCGGTTTGGAGGGCGGGACAGGCCTTTCCGAAAGCCCATCAATTTGCCAACTATGAAAAGTGACTTCTATGGAGAGGGGTCAGTGGAGAAAAGAGAGAGGAGCTGGTCTCGTGAGGGAGCGAGGGACTGGAGAGCAAGGGACCGAGACCCTGAAAGGAACCGAGACAAGAGATGGCTGGAAAGGGAGCGATCGTGGGCTTGGGGTGAAAGCAACCGGGAAAGAGAGCGGGATTCCAAAGAGGAAAGGAGCAGAGGAAGAGAGAGGAAGGACAGAGAGAGAAAAGACAGGGAAAGAGACCGGAGCAGGGAGAGAGACCCTAAGAAGCAGAGAGATGATGACAAACATCGGTAGAAGAAAGTTCCGTTAAGCTGAACACCCATGAACTGTGGGGAAGTTTACAGCCAGACCCCTCCAAAACCTTCTGATTCAAACAACCCTGAACTGAGGTCAGGTTCTAATCCAGGCATGGGCCCGCCTCTGGTTTAAGAAAGCTCTGAGCACAGATTCAACCTGTGGCTTTGCTGCGTGCTTCCAGCCTGCAAGGAGTCCTGCTAATCACCTGGAACTAGATCCTCAGCGGGTGTAAAATTGGATAGAGCCACTGTCTTCACCAAAGCTGGGCCAGCCAAGCAGCTGGCCCATTGTCTCTGGTTTATTGTCCTTCAGGTAATTTCTATGGTGGTTTTGCCAGAAAGAGGGGACAATGACTCCTGCAGTAACCTGTACCTGTGTTGAGTTGTGGCTCTCTTATTTACAGAGCTTTTGTTCTCTGTCTCATGTATTATGTGGTATCTGCCTTTTCTTTGGTTTGATTCCCCACCCCCACCTTGTTAAATTTAAAATGTAAATTGTTCTTTGTGTGCAAGCAAATCTTCCTGTAGGTGTATTCTAAGTATGCAGTGACTGTCTCCTTTCTTTCTGGAGGTCAGGACTGTAGCAGGATTCCTTAACATGGTTCAAACCATTCTATACAGGCAAGGCCAACATCTCTTATAAACAGGACAGAGCCTCAGTTCTGTTATGACATGATTCCCCCTTACTCAGTAGTTTACCTCTATAGATGGGCCCTTATCCTGCGTTAGATTCAGCATAGCCCTCCCCCACTCACTCAGCTTGGAGCTGAGTGAGCTGCAGCTGGCATTGGTATTATAGTCCCAGCCTTCCAGATATTGACAGGAGTCCTGCAGGAAAAAGAGGAGAGCCAGAACTGGGCATTCACAGCAAAAGTGTTGGAAGGCAGATCTTAAGACACAGCCAATTATTTTATTTGTTGCTCTTCAGAGGTTTTCTTTAAGCAAAGTCTCATTAATGTGTTTTATAGAGCGGAGTGGAGGGGTAGCAGGATCTGGGAAATAACAAAAGTATTGGAAAGCACACAGTATTGCATTTACTGCATCTGATGGTATCGGGCTCTATGTAGTTCCATTTCTAAGAACGTTAAGGAACCAGTAATTACTGTTTGCTATGGGTTCTCTATTATACTTTGCTGCGGGGAGACCCAATGGAATGTACAAGTTGTATGTACCTATGAAAATAAAAAGGAAATGTTTTTAAAAAAATTTTAACCACACAATACTTGTTGGCATTCTGTAAGGAACACCAGACTTACAGATGTGCCTGTATTCACACCTAATTCAGTGGGATGCAAAATGAAACATGTGTCCAGGCTTCTTGGCTATTGAGAGAACGGCTTGTTTGTATATGAGAGAGCCCGGCCCTTAAATATTTCCTATATATGCCATGTGCTCATATGACAGACTGATGAAGTCACCTATTGAAGAAATATCTGTAAAATCATCATCTTTGGCTTTTGCAAATGTTTCACACAATATAAAACGGATAGGAAATGATTCAGCTGCTTGAGAGATATGGGGATAGACATAATGTTTGTTTTTGACTGGTGTTGGGTGCAATGGGGAAACATGCCTTAGAAATCTTTCTTTTAATGGAGAGCTGCTTCATTCAATCCTCGCCTTTAACTAGCAGAACTTGTATGTTCTAGACATAGAGATCCATGAGGGCAGATTGCAGGTCACATGACTTCTCAGATTAATTTCCAGCAGCTGTTGCGGCTATAGCACATCCCAATGTAAAGTCTATGGAGAGCGCCCAGTCAAAGCAAAGTGACCCGACTTTCATCTGTGTATTCCTTTGTTTTGAAACTCCTGCTTTAGCTTTCAGAATGATGTCCCTGGACCAGCCAGTGGGACAGTTATGCAATGTAATACAACAGCCATGTAACCTGTTGTCTACCCTTTGTACCACCACAGCTGCTGTTGGGTGCTTCTCCCATATGGGTGCAAGAATTATGTAGTTTGTAATTTTGTTATTGTCCCTCCTTGTCTCCTGCTCCCTTTGCACCTCATTTTCTCTTTCTTGCCTAGAGAGCACAACTCTGAGGTTACGCCCACCCGAACTATTTTGCAAAGCAAGAAAATGCTTTTCTGGGTCAGTCCATCTTCCTCGACAGCTGAGCTGGCTATAACATGGTTAAAAGTTGTAATGGAGATGGAAGCGAACTTAACAAGAGTAAAGCCCAGCCCGTCCATGATTTTAATCTGCTTCTGGGGATGAGAATGGTTGCTGGGTGCACTACAGCTGCTAGTTTCAGAGTAGCAGCCGTGTTAGTCTGTATCCGCAAAAAGAAGAACAGGAGTACTTGTGGCACCTTAGAGACTAACAAATTTATTAGAGCATAAGCTTTCGTGTACTACAGCCCACTTTGATATGCATCCGAAGAAATGG